ATTACATCACAGCTTTATATACACCATGTCTACTATTACATCACAGCTTTATATACACCATGTCTACTATTACATCATAGCTTTATATACACCATGTTTACTATTACATCATAGCATTATATACACCATGTCTACTATTACATCATAGCTTTATATACACCATGTCTACTATTACATCACAGCTTTATATACACAATGTCTACTATTACATCATAGCTTTATATACACCATGTCTACTATTACATCATAGCTTTATATACACCATGTTTACTATTACATCACAGCTTTATATACACCATGTCTACTATTACATCATAGCATTATATACACCATGTCTACTATTACATCACAGCTTTATATACACCATGTCTACTATTACATCACAGCTTTATATACACCATGTCTACTATTACATCACAGCATTATATACACCATGTCTACTATTACATCACAGCTTTATATACACCATGTTTACTATTACATCACAGCTTTATATACACCATGTCTACTATTACATCACAGCATTATATACACCATGTCTACTATTACATCACAGCATTATATACACCATGTCTACTATTACATCACAGCTTTATATACACCATGTCTACTATTACATCACAGCTTTATATACACCATGTCTACTATTACATCATAGCTTTATATACACCATGTTTACTATTACATCATAGCATTATATACACCATGTCTACTATTACATCATAGCTTTATATACACCATGTTTACTATTACATCATAGCTTGATATACACCATGTTTACTATTACATCATAGCTTTATATACACAATGTCTACTATTACATCAAAGTTTTATATACACCAAGTCTACTATTACATCACAGCTTTATATACACAATGTTTACTATTACATCATAGCATTATATACACCATGTCTACTATTACATCACAGCTTTATATACACCATGTCTACTATTACATCATAGCTTTATATACACCATGTTTACTATTACATCATAGCATTATATACACCATGTCTACTATTACATCATAGCTTTATATACACCATGTTTACTATTACATCATAGCTTGATATACACCATGTTTACTATTACATCATAGCTTTATATACACAATGTCTACTATTACATCAAAGTTTTATATACACCAAGTCTACTATTACATCACAGCTTTATATACACAATGTTTACTATTACATCATAGCATTATATACACCATGTTTACTATTACATCATAGCTTTATATACACCATGCTACTATTACATCACAGCTTTATATACACCAAGTCTACTATTACATCACAGCTTTATATACACCAAGTCTACTATTACATCATAGCTTTATATACACCATGTCTACTATTACATCACAGCTTTATATACACCAAGTCTACTATTACATCATAGCTTTATATACACCATGTTTACTATTACATCACAGCTTTATATACACCAAGTCTACTATTACATCATAGCTTTATATACACAATGTCTACTATTACATACAGCAGGTTTATATACACCATGTTTACTTATACATCAACACTTTATATACACCATGTTTAGTAATACATCACAGCTTTATATAGACCATGCTTTATATACACCAAGTCTACTATTACATCATAGCATTATATACACCAAGTCTACTATTACATCATAGCTTTATATACACCAAGTCTACTATTACATCACAGCTTTATATACACAATGTCTACTATTACATCATAGCTTTATAGACACCATGTTTACTAATACATCATAGCTTTATATACACAATGTCTACTATTACATCATAGCTTTATATACACCAAGTCTACTATTACATTACAGCATTATATACACGATGTCTACTATTACATCACAGCTTTATATACACCATGTTTACTATTACATCATAGCTTTATATACACCATGTTTACTATTACATCATAGCTTTATATACACAATGTCTACTATTACATCATAGCTTTATATACACCACGCTACTATTACATCACAGCTTTATATACACCATGCTTTATATACACCAAGTCTACTATTACATCATAGCTTTTTATACACCAAGTCTACTATTACATCACAGCTTTATATACACCATGTTTACTATTACATCACAGCTTTATATACACAATGTCTACTATTACATCACAGCTTTATATAAACCATGCTACTATTACATCATAGCTTTATATACACAATGTCTACTATTACATCATAGCTTTATATACACCACGCTACTATTACATCACAGCTTTATATACACCATGCTTTATATACACCAAGTCTACTATTACATCATAGCTTTATATACACCAAGTCTACTATTACATCACAGCTTTATATACACCATGTTTACTATTACATCATAGCTTTATATACACAATGTGTACTATTACATCATAGCTTTATATACACCATGTCTACTATTACATCACAGCTTTATATACACCATGTCTACTATTGCATCATAGCTTTATATACACAATGTCTACTTTTACATCATAGCATTATATACACCATGTCCACTATTACATCACAGCATTATATACACCATGCTACTATTACATCACAGCTTTATATACACAATGTTTACTATTACATCACTGCATTATATACACAATGTCTTGTATTACATCATAGCTTTATATACACCATGTTTACTATTACACCATAGCTTTATACACACAATGTCTACTATTACATCACAGCTTTATATACACAATGTCTACTATTACATCATAGCTTTATATACACCATGTTTACTATTACATCATAGCTTTATATACACCACGCTACTATTACATCATAGCTTAATATACACAATGTCTACTATTACATCACAGCTTTATATACACCAAGTCTACTATTACATCACAGCATTATATACACCATGTTACTATTACATCACAGCTTTATATACACCATGTTTACTATTACATCATAGCATTATATACACCATGTTTACTATTACATCATAGCTTTATATACACCATGTTTACTAATACATCATAGCTTTATATACACAATGTCTACTATTACATCAAAGCTTTATATACACAATGTCTACTATTACATCACAGCTTTATATACACCATGTTTACTATTACATCATAGCTTTATATACACCATGTTTACTATTACATCATAGTTTTATATACACCATGTTTACTATTACATCATAGCTTTATATACACCATGTTTACTATTACATCATAGTTTTATATACACCATGTATTCTATCAGATCACAGCTTTTTATACAACATGTCTACTATTTCATCACAGCTTTATATACACAATGTCTACTATTACATCACAGCTTTATATACACAATGTTTACTATTACATCATAGCTTTATATACACAATGTCTACTATTACATCACAGCTTTATATACACAATGTCTACTATTACATCAAAGCTTTATATACACAATGTCTACTATTACATCACAGCTTTATATACACCATCTTTACTATTATATCATAGCTTTATATACACCATGTTTACTATTACATCATAGTTTGATATACACCATGTATTCTATCACATCACAGCTTTTTATACAACATGTCTACTATTACATCACAGCTGTTTATACATCATGTCTACTATTATCATGGTTTTATATACATCATGTCTACTATTACATCACAACTATATACACTGTGTCTTCTGTTATATCTTGTACTCCTTATCTTTCAACCTTTATCTTGTTTCCTATTGGAGCACAATGCAGTCATACACTATTGTTTTATATCCATATTAATACTTTTTGTTGTTTTTTGTGCTATAATGTTTACAGCTTTTTATGTAATTTGTACATAAGATTTGTTTCTGGGAGGATTTTTATTTTTAATGATCTCTTTAAGGGTACAACTGGAGCCTAGTCTGCAATTGATGAAGTTTTTATGTTTACAATAAACTTCTTTAAATCAGTTAACATTTTTTGATAACAATTAAGTTTCATATTCAGAATAGAATAATTGTGAACCCCCTAAAAAGATTTTTGTTTTGTATTATATCTTGTTTTACTCTTGCAAAAATGAATTAAGTATGTATGTATTGTCATTATAATTATCAAACCATTATTGTAGTATTTGTACACCATTATTGTAGTATTTGTACACCATTATTGTAGTATTTGTACACCATTATTGTTTTCATCAATTACAGCCAAGAAGATCTAAATTTATGGGTGGAGCTGGAGCACCAATTCAATCTGATTCTGGTAACATAGAAACACACATACATAAGAATCCTTCAATACATTTTCAAGATAAAGAGAATATTCCACCAGCATTAACTCAACAATTGAGAAATTCATTGGATCCTAATAAAGATGATTATTTAAAGGAATTGTGTAAGTTTCTTAGTCTTTAACTATTGTTTCAATAGCAATCAAATATAATGATGTGAAATTTTTTAAAATTTTCTTTGACCAATTATACTTGTCTCAGAAACAGGAATTTTTTTTTCTTCTAAGCCAATCAGTTATAGTGTTTACAGCTCACAGACAAAATTTGAGCCTTCAAATCCATGTGAGTCCAGATTTTTCCGTGTTTGAATGTTAAAATGACGACTCATCATTTTAAGATACTGTGTGATATATAAAAGACATCTTTAGAAATAGTGAGTAAAAGTCCTAGTTTGAAGTATTTTTAAGGGAATTATGCTATTTTCGTACATTTCTAGTACTTCTGAAGACTATTTACACATATTCAAGACTCAAATCAATGCCACAAAATGGCACCTGTCCTTTTAACTTAGCATTTACAAAATTAAACATATACAAATTATTCTATTCAGTCCAAATTTCTTTCCAGACATTCATATTAGGTGCATGTTTTTAATGCATAACAGCATTTAATTAACTCCTTGTGATGGTCTCCGACACAATTTTCTGTTGCCCCCACTAACAAATGTGTATGTATTTAACAGACCAATATTTTGGCATGAAATATCTTGACTATTCAGGAGTTATTTAATCAGTTATGAATGATTAGACAACAAACACTCCCTTTAACTTACTTCAGCTCTGATTTATGCAATCTTTTCTATTTCTTTAAACTATTTAGGTATATTCATGATATTTGACTGCCATTGTTATGTAATATTACCATTATTAGTCATACTAGTTGGTCTTGGTTGTAGTCAACCAACTCTTACTGCTGTACACATGTAACTGTTGGTAGTTATTAATTTAGTTCATGCTAATTGGTGGACATTGTTAGGAAGCAGTGTGCAAAAAACTATTTCCAAATTGGATAATAACATATAGTACGTGTAAAAAGGTTAATCTAGCGAGAGATTAAAAGAGATTATCAATAATCTGAAAGGAAAGTAATTATAGAACAAGTAGAAACATGTTTTAGTCTATTGTTTGGTAGAAACACCATTTATCTGTTTAGTATTTTGTTGATAGTGAACTATATGTTTATTATAAGTGGTCATTGTTGTTCTCAAAATGGATTGGTATTCTATAAAGTGTACGTACAGATAAAGTTTTATTAAATTTTGGACATGTCACAGTGTATACCCTCTTGTCACTAGTCTACAGCAGGTTGCATTTTTTTTGTTTTGTGAAAAGTGAATCTTGACAGTTTGTGTCTGAAAATTATTTTGTGTAAACTTGTGGATTATCAAAGGAAATTTGACAGGAATTTTTCAAATGAACATTTTTTCTGAAATA